AAATGCAAACCAAATATCAAACCAATAGCCTCTTCAATTGATGGCGATGCTAACGATGTACAAGTGAAGGCTCACTCCTTCTCACCCCAAATACTCTTTGGTTGAGCCAAGGAGTTTTACAACTATTCTAGTTAACCCTCAACAACCTACACTTGAAAGATCACTCACCCAATTAAGAACTATTTTATACAAATGAGGCAACCTTCACCAAGGTTTTACCACTCCAAGTGATTGGTTCACCTTCACCAAGGTTTTACTACTCCAAGAGAGTAACCTTCACTTGAGCAACCTCACAACCCAACTTCCCCAACCCCTTATACAACCAACAAAGAATCTTTCTACTCAAAAATCTCACTTGTAAGCTTGTATTTTGTGTTGGCAAAAGTCTCTAGTCTTCTTGTGCTTTGGGGTTTTTATAGAAGGTGAGAAATGGCTCCAAAAGACTCTCCAACGGTCAAATATTAATTGCTGTCAAAACTAGCCGTTGGCCTGTCGGACGTCCGACAGGTGCCTGTCAGACGTCCGAACCACCTGTCGGACGTCCGAACCCTGCGTCCGAATGTAGGCAGAGAGTCATCAAATCTTTGCGAAATTTCTCGGACGTCCGATGCGATCGATGTGCGTCCGAGGCGTGCGTCGATCCTTCCGGACGTCCGATGCTTCCTCACGAGCGCGTCCGACAGAGTTTCCTTCTTGATGTTCTTCATCCTTTCGGACGTCCGATAGTTTCCTTTTGGCCGTCCGACATGAGTGACCTGATTTTGCTTCTTCATTTGGTTGTTTTCTTTCCTTGACACCATTGAACCTGATTCTAACAAATTTCTCACATAAAAACATTAGACCAAATCTACATTTTGGTTTGTTAATCATCAAAACCAAGGATTGATCGACCAAGGTCAACAGTGATTTTCAATGATCCAAGCCTTGTGGCGACCCCACTTCGCCTAAGGCGAACGCAAAGGGTTGGCGGGCCGTCTGCCCAGCTCTCGCCAGGACTCACGCAAGCATTTTAACCCAAATCCATCCGAAGGATAACTTAGTATATGATAAAATAATTTTTCACAACTAGGATCATCCTTAAAACCACATTAACTTCGGAGATAGCAATGATAAATTTTTGCCAGTCATGGCTCTTAAACTTCCCACGTACTACGTACTAGAGTATAGAGTCGTACCTCCGGATTAGATAACTACATAAATCTCTATTACAAAGTACAAGCAAGTAACCGAATTAGGGTTTACACATTTTCCGACTTCAAGTGGCAATCTGAAGAAAAGGAAAAAGTGCATTATCTCAAATAACACATTACAGTCCACATAATAAGTTATAATATTCAAATACAATCCAAAAGGAAAACATGAGTAAGCATCCAGCTTTCAGTTTCCAGAACCTGTTAAGGAAAACAATAAACGTGGGGTGAGCTAAAGCTCAGTGGTGCCCCAAAACATGCAATCAAATAAATCAAACAACGGATAACAATTTAAATCAAATTGAAACAGTTAGGAAAGCGTGTAACAGCACAAGGTAGGATACAGGGGCTCTCAGGAGCCATTTTCCACGCTTGATCAGATACCATCGTAGTTGACCCTCCGTCAACTTTCCCTACTTAATTTCGCATGTAGATACACTTATTTTTAATCCTAACCTCAGCCACCATTCATACTCTGCTTTGGGCCCAAACTTCCTCTACCGACGCAGTATACTCGAGATATACCCGTAATAAATTTGTCGAGGGATTACTCAACGATGTTATGGTAGTTGGATTCAGATGTCGAGGGATTCACCCAACGACGCAACTACAGATTCAGATGTTATGGTAGTTGGATTCAGATGTCGAGGGATTCACCCAACGACGCAACTACAGATTCAGATGTTATGGTAGTTGGATTCAGATGTCGAGAGATTCACCCAACGACGCAACTACAGATTCAGATGTTATGGTAGTTGGATTCAGATGTCGAGGGATTCACCCAGCGACGCAACTACATTTAGATTCACAGATTCAGTAGAAAATGTTTCACACATGTTCCACTCGAACGGCTAGTGCGATAAAGTACACACTGCTCACTTCGATGGATCAAAATCATTTATTGCATTTTGACAATTATCACATAGCGAATTGATAAAGCGCTTAACCACATAACATAGAACAAGCAGGGACACTCACCAAGAGTGAAGTTCAGATATTGGATTGAGGATCGAGTTCGCGTCCTCGTAAAATCCTAGAATATCAGAATTTAAGCCATAAGTTTTCTATTGGAACTTTTGGCTTGCACATGTAGAGTTTTCTAGCATGTTGCTAGTTTACTTTTTCTCAAAATATTTTACTTGGAATCGAGCTTGGGAGAACCGTACAATAGTTTCTTATAATATTCCTGGAATACTTTTCCTTGAAGAAAATACTATTATTATTTTCTTAAATAAGTCGGCAAGATAATTCATATCAAGGCTAAAAGTATACCTTGGAAAAAATTCATTGGAGTGGTTGTGCCTACAAAATCTGCTAAGGGGGGTAAGGTCTATTGAAAAATGTTGCTAAAATAAGGTTTTTTTTTTTTCTTCTTCTTGCCAAGCAGGTTTCTACGTTTAAAACTAAAGTGATCGAGTTTCACCTTTTAAATTTTCCTTAGTTCCGACTAGCCTTAAACGATTTATAAAGAAGGAAGGAATTTGGAACAAAACTAAGGTTTTGAGTCTGGGAGAATCATTTTCCCCAAATTGATAAGGCTAGTCTAACTTAAGGAATAAAAGTCATGTTGCCCAAGTTTCTAAGGCAAAAATAGTAGACACTATGTTTAGCAATACGATGCTAAATCTGTACCGTTCGAGACTTAAAGAAAATATTTTTCATTTACTTAGTCAAGCGTTTACTTGGAGTCACAAGGTCGGTACAACTTCTCACATTTTCGATTCCAATCCAAAATCACATTTCCTCAATATTGCACAATTAGAATTTAAACAGTAATAACACTAGGGCTCGTCAATTCTTAGCCCTGTGTTCCAACAAATTTATATCTAAGCATAAGCAGGAAAATTTACCAAGGCTTCGTCAATACTTAGCACTTGGTAATCAGTACTTATATCAACTCACAATTTCACAAAATAGTAGCACAGATTTCTAAACAATTTCATCAATTCAGTTATCCATGCAGGGTGGGAATTCATAGAGCCCACCATCAACCAATTTCGACACATTATGCTTCGATGAAAAATAATGCCGACCATTAGCTTTGCGGACATTGGAATACGAGTAGAAATTGTTTCACTAGCCAGGCTTAAGCATACGTTTAGCAAGTACCTTCTTACCCTCTAATTCTTTGAAAATTTCAGGAACACCCTAGGGTCAAACCACAATTCAGTCAAGAGTTTGAACCACTAGTAATATAAAGTCTCAATCCGAATTCAAGTTGAGATTTAAAATGAAACAGGTCATTCATGCCAAACAGTTTACTTTGAAAATTCACCGACAGCAGTACACATGGAGTAAAAATACGAAATTTCTACAGGGCGAAGATCTATGATTCTAGTTTCAAATGCCGCTGACGGCGCCTTAAACGGATTTTCCTACACCAAGATATAACCGTTTTATCGAGACTGGTCAGACTTCCGAAAATCTGGAGTTTCATTTTTCACTTATGAAAAACTCCTTTTTCTTTTCTTTTCACACCAAAAAGTTTTTATTCAAACCATCGTACATTTCTTATAGGGCTCCAAAACAACATATTCCAAGCATCATTTTTCAAGAAAATTTTCCAAGAACCAAGCAAATTTTTCAACTCAATTCTCGGCTATCTCAACGAAAATTCCAGCAATTGTATACTAGCGTTTTTGGTTTCAGCTTTATATGTACTAATTGGTTCATTGCTGAACAAATTGTATATCTTAAAATTTGTATCTCTTATGAAATTCTGAGCCACCATAATCCAAGGAAATAAAATAAATTTCCAGAGTCAAATTAAAATTTTCCAATGATATTGAAATTCTGGTTCATACCCCTTCGGTTATTCCCCAAAATTTCCAGCAATCAATCTACTTTAGTTCGAATCTTTTCCTTGGTTTGAGTATGGTATTAGGTACTCAATTCAGCGTTTAAAACACTTAGCTAGCAAATACACATTTTCATATCAAAAATTAGGTTTGAACCATAACCCAAATCATCAAATTTCCAAGAAAGTCTCCAGATAGCCTCGGTTTGAGCTGCACAAAATCTGGTTGCATCTTATTTTTATTTTCAGTTCTAACTCAACTAATTATGTGCATGCCAAGCTAAAATTTCTCGTTACTTACTAGTTAATCAAAGTTAGAGGCTCCAAATCAGAAAACTATACCAAATGAAGCTACATTAACAAGAAAATCTCTCGCAGCAACTTTTCAGCAAAGCAGAATTTTCCTAAGCTCTTTAATTCATCATCCGAATACACAATCAGTGCATGCAAGCACTGGTATATCTTTATCTACCAGTAATTAGCTTAAACATCATATTTTCATGTAGCTAATTGCATTTATGCTCAGATTATTAGATTTAAATAGATTACAACTGCATTTCAGATTTCTGGTTCACATCAATTCCAGTTCACTACATCAGAATTTTTCCAGGTTCCTGATTTCATCATCCAATCACACAAAATTATCATGCATGGCCCTAATCATAACAATCATCCAAGATTCAGTTAATTAATCACCATTGCATGCTCAAATCACTTCAGGAAAACACATTAAAGCTGCATTTCTCAATTAGTTTTCTCGGCAGAAATGGTTTGCCCAAACAGAATTTTCCACGGCTTTGGTTTCGTCATTTAATTACACCATTAACACATGCAAGGCCCACGGTTAGCTTAAACTACCTCTGATTATCCATTTTTTAACCCAGAAAAATTTACCTCACTCACGTCAAGCTCACACACAAGAATCTGAAAATTTTCTGCTCCCTCCCGGTTCCTACGCACGCGACAACTTTGCTGGTTCTGGTTTGGTGTAGTGGCTTCGACTGGCGGTGGTTTCAACTGATGGTTGTTAGTCTGAGGTTGATGAAGAAAGTGACGGTTCCCTGTCCAAGGTCTTGCACAAGTCCTTTACGACCCACCACGTATTGGCCAATAACGTGATGCCTCTGCTTTGCATGATCAACAAAGTTCTTTAATTCTTCCATTCCCTTGAAGAGCAGCATGTCAATAACCTGCAGAGAGTCGGAAAAATATGATGCAGATCTACAACTCAATCTCAAGTTTTTCTATAACAGAATGAAAATCTGATTAAGTTCAGTGCTAGGACAAATTCATAGAAGATCAAGATACCGAAAAAAGGCACTATTTTTTACACTATCAAACAAGTATTTCTTTGCAACTATACCAAACCAAAATTTATCCTGGAAAACTAAAGGTAAAATAGCCAAAAGTATCAGGAAGGTAATTCAAGAAGCTTTAGATGGCCATCATGATGCAGGCAATCTTATTTGCAGCCAAAATCCATCAAATGTCATAAAGGAACATGCTAAGACTAGATTGATTCTTGAGAAAGATGAGAATGGCATTAACTCTGACCTAATTTGTCATATTAATGAGGCAAATGCACCCTAAAAACCACGCGAAGCTACACAGAAATGAAGAAAAGTACACGAGATTATCTTCGTTTTAATTCAGCTTAATTTATCATAGAGGCACAGTTGTGAAAAGTCTATAACATGATATAAAGCATACGAATCATTTTGCTAGACGAAACAGCAATATAGTAGTGAACAATTTATCTGATAAGGCGTGATTGAAAACAGAAAAGGGCCAAGAACCAATATGCCCAACAATGCATCAATTGATTCAATATCTTCCAAGTGTATAAACAACATGATATCCCAGGAAAGTTGAAATACCAGCTACAAACTTGTAAACGACCAAGACAACAAAACCAAAGCAAAAGAAATCAAATGACACCTTTTTCTAGAATACTTTGCCTTAAAGAGATAATCATGAACGCTAACAATGAGAATGCTCTCGAAGTCGCAAAAGGTTCATATCAAGTTCTGGACCCAACAGGAAGCTTTTAAACTTCCCATAACCGCAGAGTCCTTCTTATATGTAAATGGAGTACAAGACACCCTAGAGAAGTTGCATTCAGCATTGTCCACTTTAAGTTTGACAAAACTTAGGTAAAAAGATCAGACAATGAATCTTTAAAACCCAGACTATTATCAGTTAACCATAAATTAAAAAAATCCATATACACGAAAGACTGTTCCACTCCTGCTAATATTCCTCATATACATGAAAAAATATACCATGTAAGTCAGAAGGGACCACAGTTACTCAAGCTTATGTAGTCTCTCCGCGTAAGAAAGAATTGTCTGTAGAGCTTAACATATACGTACAATTAATTGAGCTTCTTGCTTAACTATTTGTCTCCTAACCTATGTGTATCATATTGCTATACATAAGTAGCATCCTCACACCGTCTTACTCACAAGAAAAGTCACAAGTAGCTTATCTTTCTTATCAATTTACAGAATTAGACATCAAACTTTTCACTAATACCATTGAAGAACAGACCATAATAACGTGCTTATGAGTTTGGATTCTTAACAGTCACTCAATGGAATTCAACTCAAAGTTATGCTTTGGTTTACCTAGAGCAAAAATCTTCTTCCCCAGTATTCATCCTAGGTCACTCTCACTTAACACGTCAAGCCCATAGAAGAGCATGACACCATCCAAATTCTTCTTGCCAAGGCCATTGCGTGATGTTTGTTACTCTGCTTTCAGAGCTCACACGGACAAGAATTGCAGATTCTCAACACAATTGTCAACAACTCTGAATATTAGCTTGTCAACTCATGACAATATTATAAAACAGAGCCTCCATCATATATGTTCTTGCATCAGAAGGCACAGAACACCCAATTTTTAGCAGCACTGGGCTGTTTCTCAAAGCCCAGTTAATGACAATCTAAATATCATTTTAAAACTGATATTGAGCATCCCACATGTTTGTACAATCTTCGAGTTCTTTATAACTATACTAGAAAATATCAGTTCCACAAAGTGTCAGTTTACTTTATTATATGCTAGATAAATTGTTAGATCCTACTGGAGGCCTTTCTTTGGTTTTACTGAGCAAAGGCTTCTGGAATTTCAAAACATTCTTCAAGTTTCCAGTATACCCTGCAAACTCTACTAGGATGCCAAGTTATGGTTTCTGATACATTTGCAGCACTAGGATGTGTTAAATAGCTACCTCATTTGGTATTGATATCGAAATCAAAGCCCTATTTTGGGTTGGGATTTGTACAGTTCTATGAGGATTTTTCAGCTGGATGATGCAATTTAAGCCATAATTGTGATTTAGAGTTCCACTCCACCTATATGCGTTGCAGTCCTAACCGTAATTTCATTTTTGCCTTATTCACCAAACCTAAAATAGTTGCCCTTCACCTCTTTCCACCTAAGAAATGTCAAACAACTGAAAACGGCTGCCGCTCAGTACTCAAAGCATCCTGAACATCTGCCAGACCTTTTACACAAATATAAGGTAAACTATCTGAAGTTTAGAAATCATGTTCTTCTGATACTTGCGAAATGATTTAAACTAAACTGATGCTAACAATCCAGAGCCTTGGGACATCAAAAGTGATAGCGATAAGTGGCAAAAGTCCACTAAGGTTTATAGGAGACGTGGGAAGGATATGTCGAATGCCCAGGCATTGATTTGGCATGCTTTTGATGACAAGGAACCAACTTGGGAGTTGGCCTGAATCCTATGGAGTTTATTTTCTGATTTCTGTCGGCAGGGATATTTTAGTAATTTGAATTAGCTGCAGGAATTTTATGTTTACAGTAATTCTTTGTTTAGTAGTTGTTCTTGGTAATTAGTAATTTGGTTGTTATAGGGAATAAGAAAGCTTAGCCTTCTAGCTTTCTAGTTATAATTCTATTCTAGTTAGGAATCCTAATTAGGATTGGAAAGGGATTTGTCCTAGTGTCTATGAATATCAACTTCTCCACAAAGAGAAGGCAGTTTCTGGTCATTAATAAAATATTCCTGCAGACTTAACGTCTCTCTTAGGGCTGTGTGATGCATCCCAACTTTAGGTGTGAGGCCTAAAGATTCCTAGGAGTGATTCCTAGAATTACCAACCAGTTTTACCTTCTTAAGCATAATCTGCCAGCCTATTTCAAGTTGCTATTTTAAGTTCGGTGGTATTCAATATATAAGCCCTTCTACAACGCTGTTGTGCCCACCACGTGTTCGTGCTGCGTCAATTTTGGTAATCAGAGCAAGGCTTTCCCATGACGACAAGAAGTGGGTTGAATTTTAGAGGTCGATACACAGACAAGGAACGGGATAACATCATTAATCTTCTCTTAGGGAGGGTTGCTGTGTTAGAAGACAAAATCTTTAATACCGAGCAACAGCAAATCCCTGAATCTGGAGGCAACGGTGAGCCCGGATCTGGGGACAAAAACAATGGAAAGGAACCTGAGCATCTCGAACAGCCTGAACACATAATCGGGAAACAATCTAGTAGGAGTGAAAATAGAATAAATCAATCTTTTGGAAGGCCACAAGCTTCTCTTTTTGACATGGCTGATGAGATTGTTCAATCAGCAAGGCAAGGAAGACAAGACTCTTATGATTTCGCAGGAGACATCACAAAAAAGGTAAGAGTAGATATCCCCGATTTCGATGGAAGAATTGATCCTAAAGTCTTTTCTGATTGGCTCGCTACTTTGGAACGCTATTTTGACTGGTATGATATGACTGATGAGAGAAAAGTTAAGTTTACTATCATGAAACTTGTTGGACAAGCCCAGGTGTGGTGGACAGGAGTCGAGCATGATCTTCGACTTGCTGGACAACTAGACTTGACGTGGGAAGAGATGAAGCTGCGTTTGAAGAGAAAGTACGTGCCTCTACACTATGAAGCTGACCTTTTTGATGACATGACTAGCTTAAGGCAAGGAGGAATGACAGTTGCTGAATATATGACTAAGTTTGAGGAGCTGAAAATTCGCTGCGGAGGCACCGAAAGTTCAGCACAAGCTTTATCCAGATTTAAGTTGGGTTTGAGACCTGAAATTCGCAAAGAATTGATGGGACGGGATATCCACACAGTTGACAATGCATTCCAAACAGCTCTTAGACTTGAAAAGAGCCTGCAGCAGCCACCACTTAAGAGGATCAATACTCAAGGTGGGGAGGAAATTCCTAAAAGATTCACTGCAAACGGCAAGCCATATAGATCAGCAGCAGCTCAAGCAACTTCCAAGCCTGCGGAGACCAAGACTAAGACTTCCACAATCGATGAAAGAAACAAGAACAAAGATGGATGTTTCAAGTGTAGTTTGAAGGGACACATGGCATGGGAGTGCCCGAACAAGAGGAACTTGCACCTTGGCGCCGATTTCAGAGATAAGGAAAATCTAGAGGTCGAGGAAGATGAAGGTGCTGATTATTTCACTGAGATAGCGCAACTTAATGTTGATGATTTGGAAGACAAAGAAGAAGACACGTCTTATCTCTCAGTTGTGAGGCGTCTCCTTAGTGCACCAAAGTCACAAAAGGAAGACTGGCGAAGAACTACAATCTTTCAAACCTTAGTGTGCTGTGGGCAAGAGATTAGAAAGCTAATTATTGACAGTGGCAGCAGCATGAACGTGGTTTCAGAATCTACCATACAACAGTTAAATTTGCCTACAGAGCCACATCCTGAACCTTACAAGGTTGCTTGGATCAACAGTAGCTCTATACCGGTGACGAGACGTTGCTTGGTGTCCATTAAACATGGACCTTACAGCGATACTATATGGTGTGATGTTATTCCAATGACCGTTTCCCACATACTTCTTGGTCGACCTTGGCTATATGATCGAGATGTGAATCATAATGGAAAGTCAAATACTTACCCATTCAAGTTTAATGACCAGCAGATTGTCTTAAAGCCTATGAGTGCTGAAACTATGAAGAAGTTTCATGAGAAGAAATCAACCAAACAAGAGAAGCCAGGAGTTAATGAAGTGATCGAGACAAGGAAGAAGAAATTCGCAGAATTTGAAGAAGGGGATGAAGTTATGGTTCGTATTCGGCCAGAGAGGTATCCTAAGGGCGTCTACAAGAAGCTACATTCAAGAAGTGCAGGCCCCTTCAAGGTTCTCAAGAAAATCAGCTCAAATGCTTATGTTCTTGAGTTACCTGATGATATGGGGATTAGCAATGTGTTCAATATTGAAGATTTGACTGCTTATAATGGGCATTTAGACGATTCAGCAGGTGGGACTTCTAAGGCTGCTCTTCCACCTCCTACACGCTTACGTGAAGCAATTGAAGATGTTCTTGACCACCAAATTGTGTCCACTAGAGGGGGTGGTTACCAAAAGTTTCTTGTTCATTGGAGGGGACGCCCACGCACAGATTGTACATGGATTACCGAATCTGAATTTCAGAAGTTGGATCCAGATTTCTATGAGAGGTATCAGGCCATTAACTTGTCGGGGTCGAGTCTTTTCAAGCCGGGGAGATGATAGCGATAAGTTGCAAAAGTCCACTAAGGTTTATAGGAGACGTGGGAAGGATATGTCGAATGCCCAGGCATTGATTTGGCATGCTTTTGATGACAAGGAACCAACTTGGGAGTTGGCCTGAATCCTATGGAGTTTATTTTCTGATTTCTGTCGGCAGGGATATTTTAGTAATTTGAATTAGCTGCAGGAATTTTATGTTTACAGTAATTCTTTGTTTAGTAGTTGTTCTTGGTAATTAGTAATTTGGTTGTTATAGGGAATAAGAAAGCTTAGCCTTCTAGCTTTCTAGTTATAATTCTATTCTAGTTAGGAATCCTAATTAGGATTGGAAAGGGATTTGTCCTAGTGTCTATGAATATCAACTTCTCCACAAAGAGAAGGCAGTTTCTGGTCATTAATAAAATATTCCTGCAGACTTAACGTCTCTCTTAGGGCTGTGTGATGCATCCCAACTTTAGGTGTGAGGCCTAAAGATTCCTAGGAGTGATTCCTAGAATTACCAACCAGTTTTACCTTCTTAAGCATAATCTGCCAGCCTATTTCAAGTTGCTATTTTAAGTTCGGTGATATTCAATATATAAGCCCTTCTACAACGCTGTTGTGCCCACCACGTGTTCGTGCTGCGTCAAAAAGTATCTACATTGGAAGAGTTTTACAATAAAGAAGACAATTTTTGAAGGCGAGGATTAAACGGCAAATGATAGAAAATAGAGAAGTACTGCTAAGTTAAGGTACTCTAAGCAAACAACAAACATAAGAATGATGCTTGGTAATTGGATCAGCTACGGGAGTCAGGGAATTCAGGAACACCAAGTACAATTTATCTAATTTATAGACAAATAAAAGCCCAGCCAGCTGGACCCATGGGAGATGGGACATTATTGATCTTGGCCTCAAGAAGAACAAGGCATTGGATAGAGTACAACAGAAACCACTGATTTATAACCTTGACGTATTGGTCATAAAGGGAGCACAATGATGGTTTATTTATTAAAGAGGATAAAATTTTGAACTATTTATTATAAAGGTCAAATGTATTCGCATCCATTAAAAAAAAAAGTACAAATGCAGTAAAAATGCCCCTAGTACTAAATAGTTCAAATTTAAGCACTCCTTGTTGATTAACTCTTCCACTGCACCTTTTTAATTAATGTTCCACTGGTTTATAACTTAGGAGAAATGATAGCCAGCCTTGTCTTCCACCCTTTCTTAAGGGAGGTGAAGGGGTGAGACTAATTTCCAGAGGGTCAGTACTTTATAATTGGTGGATCGCCATGGAAGAGCAACTTAGGATTCAGATAGAATTTAACTTTTTTTTATACTTTTGACACCAAAAACTAAAAAATGGTTGGAAAATTTTAACTCTAAACAGCCCTCAGGAAAGGTTGGAAAATTAAAAGTCATGACAATCCGCTGTTAACTTTCTCTGCACGATAAGGTAAAAGGGAGAAATATGCAGTCACTAACAGTAGAAAAAGCATAAAAGAAACAATAAACTCAAGTGCAATTCAGAAAAATGCAGTCAGTTTGAATTCTGTCTTAATTCAACTGGATTAGAGGTTTGCAAATTAGTATTTTGACATAAAACTATAATTTTCTAAGTGATCAATTATGCGAAACTAAAATTACCATATTCTAGAATCAAGAAAGACAGAAAAATCCATTTCCAATTGAAGATTATGACATCAGCTTCTTCCCAACAGATATAATAAAATTGCAACGAGAATCTAATCTTGACCCTAAACCTCTAATTCATATCAAATTCAATTAGAAACCAAAACTTTCCTTTAAAAAAAAAAAGAAAAGAAAAGAAAAAAACCTTGGGATTGGTGACGTGGGCATTCTTGCGGATTTCAGAGGCTACAGTGGAGCGTAGCTGAGAGGGGGTAACGACGTCGTCGAGGTTGTAGATTTCCATAATGTTTGGGATGGATCTGCAGGCCAACCTGAAGAAATCGAAGGTCCTTTTCCGAGCTTCCTCCCGACTCGTCGAGTTCGGCGGCACCTTCAAGTTCTTCATCAAATGTGCCATTTTTTCGAATTATTTTCCCTTTGTTTTCTCCTCTGGGGTTTTCAGAGGAAAATCGCTCAGTATTTATGTTTCTGTTACGGTCCTACGTGTTGGTATTCTTTCACTTTCTGCCAGTCGCTGGTACAGTAAAAGCATTCGCAGCGCCGAGATTGCGTGAACGGCCCAGGCCCTATACAATTAGTGGGCTTTTGATCCGATTATCACTTTGTCTCAAATCTGTAAAAATAAAGGCCAAAACTGGCTAGATCCAATCTACGATGCTAGTCCTTTTTTTTTTTGTTAACACAGGGGTGTCCAGGTCAATTCTTACGGGACTCGACTAATCCCCTGCGGCCCGGGAGAGGAGGCCTCACTCCACACCGAGCACGTTAACAACGGGACTCGAACCCTGAACAAGCCAGGTAGGTCGTCATACCCTAAGGAGGGGGAGCGGACCGCTTGAGCTATCCCGTGGGGGCAGAAGACCAGCCACGTAAAGTGACAAGTTTGTGGGAGGCAGGGGTTGAACCCCTGACCTCCAGCATCACCAAAGATGGTGATGACCACTGGACCAAATAGCCAGTGGCACGATGCTAGTCGTAGACCGAGTGATCTAGAATTTCCACATCATCAGTTCAACGGCAAAATTGAAAATGGCTTTAAGACCACTACATATCTAGTAAATGCAATTGTCAAAATGGAGTGGTAGGCTGCTGATGTGGCACGCTACTATTCATCAGAATGTATCGTCACCTAAGCGTTTCTCACGTGCCAAGAGTTTTGTTCTAGGGTTTCTCGTCTTCTTTCCCTTCATTCCTCTCTACCGCTTCGTTCCTCTTCAGAGCTCCTCTCCCCTTCCATTTTTCTTCTTTTTTTCTCTGTTCCTTTCTTTCTTTTTGTTGTTTTTTATTTGGTCCTTTTTTCTCTGTCTTTCCTTCCTATTTCCCCCGTTTTCCCGTTCTTCTCTTTTCTTTTTTCAATTTTATGATTCTAACTGATTTTTTTCCCTTGTTAGAATTGGTCTGGATTTGAAGGTGCGAAATGCATGAGACATAAAAATCATCTTGATTGGTAAGCTCCAATATTTCCCTAAATTTTTACAGTTTCCTTTATTCAAAAGAGAAAGACATTTTTACTGTTAGGATTTGTTAATTTTTCAATTAATAACCCAGAGGTTTGAAATACCATTCTTCCATCTCCTTCTTTGAGTAAAACAAAGAAAGCCACAGTAAAATCTTCATCCTAACCCATCCAAAAGCACCGAAAGTCGGAAGTATTTGTAAACCCAAAGATCTACTGTTTTTTCTTTTCTTCCTAAGTATGCTTCTGAGTTTGTGTTCAGCCTTCTTTTTTTGTTGTGCTATAATGCGCCGTTTCTCCATCATCTCCTATAAGAAATGATTTTAGAACCCTAACCGTAGATTTTAGTATATATATGTCTATTTTCTATTTTAGTTATGTATATCTATAGAGCCGTGAAGTTCACTCTAAACCCAAGGAGCCGTGAAAAGAGTTATTATTGTTGTTTCCTCCCCTTACTTTTGCCTGATTTCCATCATTTTTGCCATGACTAAAGAACATCAAAATGCATTTAACAAATTTGATTAAGTTCATTTTTTCCTCGTGTTTGATTATATAATTTGTGTATTTTGGTGATGTTGCAGGTCCAAAATTTGGAATTTTCTTTGATTCTCTCAAAAAAACTACGAATATGGTGCTATGGATCAACACTATTCCCAACCTATTTTATGTAATATTGGTGAATATTTTGAGTAAACCTTTTTCTATTTGCATATATGTGATTATAATTTATACTCTACTTTTCTATATTTTTTCCTCTACAAAAGAGATCGCTTTGGATTTTTTTTGGTCATTTATTTCTTTTCATGACTTATTAGATATAAGTTTCAATTTTGGTTATTGTGAAGTATTGATCATCTTAGTTGTGTCTTGGAAAGTTTAGTTTTATGACATGTTTCCTTGAACCTTTTTAAATTAAAATTTATAAATCCTCACTAGATGTTGGACTTATTTGTGTATTTCATGTGTCGGTCCCTTTTGTGTCTTTTTGTACGTGGGGTTACTTCTTTTCCTTGTTTTTTCCCCTTTTCTGTTCTAAAGTACTATAATTATATAATAATGTTTTATTTATCGAATGTTTGATAAAATGTTAGAACTATTAATTTGTTATATAGTAGCTACAATTGGAAAAAAAATTTGTCCCATATAACCCACACTCTTGATTTTCAATCGAAAGACTTTGTTCCTCTATCCATGAATTTCCTCTTCTTCTTCTTCTCATGGTCTTCACTCGCTAATAAAAAAGGGGAAGCCTTATATGCTTCTGTTTTCTCTTCTTCTATTGTAGTTTTACAAAAGGAAAAAGTGGAGATTGTTATGTAACAAAAGTCTCTAAAATTTCTCAAAGTAATTTCCTCTATGTTATAGTATTCTTTCCCATTCTCTGTATCATCATTTGGTCGTTAATGCTTGCTAATTCCCCTGCATGCGAGTTTATGGTTGGTTTCCTTTCTTTTTCCCCTCCAACATTAGTGCAGTGAGGTGATAATTAAGTGGATTTTTTCTCCTGCTCTTTTGTTTAGGCCTTTATTTTCCATACTTTGGTTGCCTATCTATGTGATTATCCTTCGGAGAATTGTTCTTTCCAGAGTACTCTCCTAAATTTCTGACATTTGGCAATTGGCTCTAGAAATATAGATATGTTCCATCATAGAAAGCTTCCCTTTTCTTTCTCAACCAAGTTTCTCTCAATCTCTCTTCCCTATATTTTGCGTTTGATATCTCTTTCCTTCTCCTAAATGGCATGGTGCTAAGAGGTCCTCCTTTTAGTCCTTTGATTTCATGTTTCCACCTTCAAGGTTAAAGAAAATGTCGCGCCCCTTTTTTTTGAAAAATAAAATAAATTTAATTTGGGTGTTAGAAGAATGAATTTTGATTTTGAAAATGATGCTTAATTTTGAGTGAATTAAAAAAATGAGTTTTTTGAAAAATAAAAGGAAAAGAGAGGGCCTAAAATGGGACTTAAAAAGTGCGATGGTTTTGGCCTAAAATAATAGTCTAAAAAGGGTTTTTAAGAAAAAATAGGAGTTGCCACTTGGTATCGAGTTTAGGTGTACCAAGTCACCTAAAAATGTATTTTTAATAAAAAAAAAATAGATAAAACCCTTTTTAGACGACTCCAGGTTTTTTAAAACAAGAAAAAGAGTTCGGGAGTCACAGTTGAAGAAATGGAAGGCAAAGATTTGACAGAATCAAACCTAATGCACCCTTTCAACCTAACTAAGGCTGATTGCGTGATTTAATTAAAAATTTTCTTAATCTGACCTATAAAACTTATCACATTTGGATGTTTCTATATGGATGCAAATCTAGACCTAATGGATATCGAGAGGGTCGAAATATCTCTTCAAAAGTTAATTAGTGCAAATCACATTAATTGTGATGCTCAAAATGATTCTTAGAAGAGGTCACGAATATACAAAAATGAGACTTGAAGAAAAGAAGAATTATAACATATAAATATACGTGAGCTAAAAGGGAGGAATGCAACACAACGAGTACGGGGAACTAAAATTCATGACTCAATTTTCCTTTCTAAAGAAGAGATACGAGCGTGCTAAGGCTAAGAAGCCATACTCATCCATTTCTCATTTTGAAGGGTAACTCTCCTGTCGCGCCCCATTTTTGAATAAAATAAAATTAACATGTTTTATAAAAATGAATTTTTGATTAATTTTTTATTAAAAAATGAGTTTTTGATTTTTAGAAAATAAATAAAGAAAATGGACCTAAATGGGGCTTTAAAATGTGATGATTTTGGTCCAAAATAATAGTTTAAAACAGATTTTTAATGAAAATATAGGAGTCGCCACTTGATATCGAGTTAAGGTGTACCAAGTCACCAAAAATGAATTTTTAAAAAATAGTACAAAACCCTTTTTAAACGACACCAAGTCTGCGAAAATCAAGAGAAAAAGGGTCGGAAGTCACATTTGAAGAAAGGGAAGGCAAGGATAAAATTCAAATCACCCTTTCAACCTAACCAATGCTAGTTGCGTGATTTAGTCAAAATTTTTCTTATTCTAATCTAAAAATTTATCACATTTGGATGTCACTAGATGGATGCATAACCTAAACCTAGGAGGATCTCGGGGGGTCGGAATATCTCTTTAAAGCTTTAATTGGTGCCAATCACATTAATTGTGATGTCCAAGAGTGACTTTTTGAAGAGGTCACGAATATGCAAAATATGAGACTCGAAAGAAAGAAAATAATAATTATACAAATATACATGACCTAAAGAAATGAATTATAACAGCTGCGGGGGGCTAAAATTCGTGTTTTTAATTTTTCTTTAATAGAGGGAATACGAGCGTACTAAGGTTAGGAGTCATACTCGTCCATATCCCATATTCGAGAGGTGTTTTCCTATCTAATCAAGCAAATGATCTAATCTAGTTCTAATTTTTAAATGGAATGCAAGTCTAAATGTCATGTTTCACATATAGGGGTAAGGAATATATATATATATATAAGGGAAATATGGAATAAGGGGTATACATATAGGGAAATGTCATGCAAAATGAAAAAAACCTAAAAGGTAGAAAATATGCATGAAAATGTAGTGATTGTCACACAAACATGATCTAACGCGTCAATGGTCCCTAAGGGTCTAGCGTTGGACTAACCCATGTTTATAAGTTCTCACTAGTATTGAACTAGTGAGAAATCAATAAAAGGGGCCACGACTAGCGTTGGACTAGTGTAGAATCAAAAAGGGGCTACAACTAGCGATGGACTAGTGTGGTGACGACGTGCATTTATTATAATCAAATAAATCATATAAAGCATAATAAAAGCAAATAAAAACATAAATCACATATAGCACATAACATATAAGCATGATATCTAGATGTAAGACCCTAAGAAAGCAGGTAACACATAAACACACAAGCATGCAAAACATATAAAGCAAATACAAATAAAAACTTAACTATTACATTTGGGGGCCCTAACTACAATCTAAGGGGTAAAGAATGAAATAAAATAAAATAATAACCTAACTATTATAATTTGGCATTTAAATGCCT